ATTCCCAGTACTGGAATTAAGACCAGAACCACCCCACGGCACCCTGAGTCGGGTTGGCCTAGTGACCAGAGGATGGTCAGCTGCCACAGAAGCGCTCTAACCCAGTCAGTCCGGGCGGCCGCCTCGGCTCCCTTGTGGGTGGAGGGCAGAGGGCTGGGCTGGGGAGGGGCCCGATGAGCTCAGGGGCACTGCAGCCTCTCTCTGTCCCAGGGCAGCAGGTCCTGCATGAGAAGTACCAGAGGTGGGTGCAGGGCCACCTCCGGGGCCTGCGGAGGGCCATGTTCCAGGGCTGGTGGCAGGCAGCGGCTCGAAGGAGGCACAAGCAGAGGTGGGTGGGCCTGGGGCAGGGACACTGCTCATCCTACCCCAGGGGGAGCAGGGAGCGAGCCGGGGGCTGGGATGCTCGGGTGGCCCAGGCTGAGAATGAAGAGGGCACCCCGGACAAGAGGAGGCTGTGACCACCAACCTCTTGTTTTGTGTTTGGGGGGGGTGGCTAGCCCTTGCACTCCCCATGGCCCGACACACCCAGCAGTCCACTGGGCCAGGTCGGTGCTGAGGTTTCAGAGGTGCCATTGGATGGAAGATGAATGCCTCGGACGTCCACCGTAAGGGGGGCAGGGTGGGCAGCCGCAGCCCTGATCAAACCCACGATTGCCAGAGAGGGAGACCATGATTTTTTTCTTTTCAGTGCTGGGCATGGAACAAAAGACATCACAAAAATTGTAAAAAGAAACGTTTTGGGGACTCGATACCCTGAAATTAAGCCACGAGGACAATGTCTCCTCCCCTGTTGGGCCCTGATTTGCAGTCATCTCCAGGGTCCCAGTGGGCTGGCCACTCAGCGACTGCTGTTTCTGCTCTCACCTCTGAGCAGCCTGGGCTGGCTCTGGACCCTTGGAGTGGGGGATCATGTTTTCCCTTCCTCTTGCCAGCTGCCAGGGCAGGCAGGGCAAGCTGGCAGTGGCCATGAACCCACACTGCTGGGTCAGCCCCCTCCCAGGGTGGCATCTGCCCCCCAAGGCCAAGATTCAAAGATGGGGTCCATGTGCGTCAAGGTCCCTGAAAGAAAGCAGTGCTTTCTCTGCTGTTTGTTAGCCAAGACGTTTTTAGGGCACAGGGCTATGTACGCCAAGTCATGTGAACCTATGTGACATTGTGGGTGACGAGCAGGTGTCATTTTAAGTAAATGTGACTTTTGACTCTGAGCCAGCTGGGCCCCTCTCCACTCCTGTTCTGCAGTACCCCCAGGCCTGGCACTGGGGTGAGCCTGTGAGAGGCAGGGGTGGCCCGGGCTCAGAGTCCAGCCAGAGAAGAAGGGCAGTGGGGCCTCATTTGCCACTGGCAGGAGGCCTGGAGTGGCCACCTGGGCACAGGAGCAGCACGTTGCCTAGGCCTGCACCGTTGCTGGAGAGGCCATGTGGAGCAAGGCTGGGCACAGACAGCAGAGGGCCCAGGCCCAGCAGGCCTTGGTGGCATGGCAAGTGACCTTGGATGGTGCTGTGAGGCCCAGCAGCAGATAGAAGTGAGAGCACAGGCCCAGGCCCCAGGCCAGGTGGCTCTGGGCAGGTCCCCGTGGGTACACAGGTCCACACGGCCTGGAAGCTGAGTGCCGGACCGACGAGTGCCTGGGAGTGGTGCAGTCCGAGGGCAGCCCCCAGCAAGCTCCGGCTCAGGCCGGGGGCTTGTTTTTCCCAGCAGCAAGGCATATTGAGCAGGAGCGGGGTGAGGAGAATGATGGGGAGAGGCCATCTTGGCCACCACAGGGCCAAGGCCAGGGGCAAAAGCACAGGTCTGCCACTCTAGCAGGGGACCTTCCTTGGGGAAGTGCCTGACAGTTCCCGCAGCCTGGCCAGAGTGCAGGCGCTCAGCATGGGCCAGATGCACCAGAGGAGAGCTGACAGGACCGTCCTCTCTGCCACATAAACAGGAAGCTAGTCCCTATCCAGGGCCCTCTCCACACTCATTTTAACCCAATTCGTCACAAAAGGCGTCGGGGAGGCCCTTCCCAGAGGACACTGGAGAGGGCTCCTGTCCCACCTGCCTTAGAATCCTGGCCCCGCGGCCTCTGGTATAGCCCCCCTCTTTCTCCTCCAGGGTCCTAAAGGCCTGGGCTCAGTTAGCGGCCCAGGGCCACGTCCAGCAAGCTGCCATCACCCAGCTTCAGCAGGCTGGGCTCAGGCGGCTCCTTTGGACCCACTGGGCCCAGTGGCAGATGGCGCTGCTCAGAGTGCGGCTGAAACCATGGACCCAGGCCCAGAGGATGGACCTTGAGCACTGGCCCAGGCTGGCCGGCAGAGGGTGCCTCGTGCTGATGGACACTCCAGCCCCTTGGAAGCAGGTCGGGTGGGGTGCAGGCAGGGTGGGAGGTGTAGAAGTGACCCTCTGACCACTGATTTTAGAATCACCAGTCCATGGTGACAGCTGGCTAGATGCTCCTCTAAAGGCCCAACACCCTCATGGACAGCTCTCCTACCCGATTCCTAGGTGCCCTCCAGGCTCAGGGTGGCAGGCCACTCTGCAGACATTCACTGAGCACCTCTGGATCTGCTCAGTGCAGACCTGGTTATAGAGTCGAACCTGCTGGGATCTCCATCTGTCAGGGAGGCGGACACTTAAATTATGTATCATGTGCAGCTTGGGATCAAGAAGGTACATGGGGACAGTAGTAATTTTTGTGAAGTTTTTTTTATTGGAAAAAATAAATATGCCCATTACAGAAAAACTGGAAAACACAGTAAAAAAAAGTTCTGTCCTAATTTTTACCACCTGAAGGGAACTGTCAGTTTTCTCCAGACCAGAAGCCGTTAGTTCTGACACAGCAAATGGTGATAAGAGGCTGATGGCCTAGCAGGAGGGCAGGGGCCACTACAAAACACAAGATGTAACACTGCATAGTAGTCTGGGGACATGTCCTTGAGGGACACAGCCCAGATATACTGGTAGGTCAACTGGTGTTTCTGAAGATCTCTGACCATCACAAGGAGTCAAAATTCCAGGAAGAACATGACCAATTTTAGAGATTCTAAGAAAAACGTTAAAGTGTTTTTTGCTTTTTAAAAATATTTTTTAGTTGTAGTTGGACACAGTAACTTATTTTTATGTGGTGCTGAGGATTGAACCCAGGGCCTCACATGCGCTAGGCGAGTGCTCTACCGCTGAGCCACAACCCCAACCCCGTGTTTTTTGCTTTTTAAAATGTAATTGAGGGGAGTGGGGTTGTGGCTCAGTGGCAGAGCGCTTGCCTAGCATGTGTGAGGCACTGGGTTCGATTCTCAGAACTGCATAAAAATAAATAAAGGCATTCTGTCCACCTATAACTATAAAAATATATATTTTTAAATGTAATGTAAATGTATTTTTAAATGACTGGCTTTGGTAGTTTGCACACATGAGACTACAGCAATAGCAGATCTGGCGTCTCAGGGTATTTCTGGATGTGTTACAGCACAAATTTTTATTCAGAGTATTTATACCTTCACTGCTTTCCTGTCAGCAAGGTAAGACCTCCCATCACTGACGGAGAAACTTGGGCTTAGAGAACAAAGTAGAAGCTAGGTGCAGTGGCGCACGCCTGTGATCCCATTATTTCAGGAGGCTGAGGCAGGAGGAACACAAGGCCAGCGTCAGCAACTAAGAGAGGCCCTAAATAACTTAGTGAGAACCTGTCTCAGATAAAGAATATAAAGGGCTGGAATGTGGCTCAGTGATTAAGCACCCCTGGGTTCAATCCCTGATAGCAAAAAGAAAAAAAAAAAAAAAATGAAGAACAAAGTCAATGCTGGCAGACTTAGCACCAGGCGCTCCATCCCAGTCCCTCCCCTCCCCCTCCCCCATGGGAGCACACACTGGCGCAGCCCTCGCCCCATGACACACACAGCGGTGAGCCACCTCGTGTGGTGCGGTCCTGTGGAGCCCCTGGTCTGTCTGCTGTACCACCTGGGGCTGCGGGCTGGACCACTGCAGATAAGTGGCTCCCCTGGCACCCTCGGGGCTGGGCCTGGCATGGGGACTCACCAAGAGGTAGCTATTACTGGCCCACCCTCTGCTAGGATGTCTTTGGCCAAGTGGGAGGCTGGGCGGAGGGACAGGCAGCGGCCTGTGCTGACAGCCACTCTGCTCTTGGGAAACTCCTCTCCTCCAGGGGCCTGGGGGCTTATGGGAGAATGTGAGGTGAGTGATGTATTTGTAAACATGCAAGCGAGAGGCCCTGGCCCTGATGCTGAGGGCAGGGACTCCCACCTGGTCAGCTGCCCCAAGAGCTCAAAGCCCCCTGGATTCAGGTTTTCCTCTCTGGCTGCTCCTGTAGACCCGCAGCTGCTGGACATGGGCCACAGGGCCTGTGCTGCCCCGGCCAACATGGGAGCACGGCCACAGTGCAGAGAGGACACAGAAAGAAACCACCTGGGCTCAGAGTAAGGAGATCCTGCCCCTGGGTGGTCACCAGTCCTCAGGGACCTGGAAATGACCTCCTTGGCCAATCCCTCTTGTGTTTTCCCACTCTCTTCCTCTTCCCAATTGTCTCAGCCAGTTTGAGAAAACAGTCCCCTTGTCCTGCCTCACCCTTGTTCTTTCCCTGAGCCTGGAGACATGGGGTAGGAGGGCCGTGCTCACTCAGCGCCCCCTGGCCCTCTGCAGTACTCTCCACTTGCAGGTGGCACAGAGGGAGCACCTACCAGTCTGAGCCAGTGTCTTCTCTGCCCAACTTCCTTTTCCAGGTGACAGAGAGCATCCCCTCTGCCCCACCTCTCGGTTCTGGTTGCAGTGGCCTGGACAAAGCAGCTGGGCCTCTAGCTGGCTGCCTTCGGGACTGAGAGGTGGGGGGCTCAGAGCCCTCCAAAGCCAAGGGAAGGCCCCTCCCAGGAGGCCGGGGTATGAACAGCTGTGCACGTGGGCGAGGGTGGGAGAAGGGGCCAGCCTGCACCCCGGCTCAGCTGGGCACTCTGGCCAGTGCTCATTCCTGTAGGATCCCGGAAGAGCAGCCCCAGTCCCATGGCTCTGCGCTCCTCCATGGTCATGGAGAGGTGCTGATGCTTGTGGTTATAAGGAGGAAGTACCTGCGGTGCTGGCGCCTTGAGGCTCGGCTTCACAGGTTCCAGGCTTCCCAGAATGCCAGGCGCCTGGCAGTGATTTGGAGGAGCTGGGCAGATGCTCGAAGGGGGCAGCAGCTGTCTCAGGCCCTGGTGAGTGGTTGCCCGCGCTCCCCGGGCCCCACCTCACACTGTAGGCTCCTCCTGGGCCCCGGGGCACACCTCTCTGCCCACTCCGCCCTCAGCTAAGCCTAGAAGCAATGCCCCCCAGGGCTGGGCTCTGGACCCTCAGAGTTTGAAAGCATGGGACTTGGAACAAGGAAGCTGCAGTTACTAACAGGCCTAAGATGACAGCCCTTGGCACATGCCTTTCACTGGGGTGTGGGAGTTGGCGGGAGGCAGAAGGGCGGGGCTTCCCGGTTACCTCTCCCCACAGCTCAGGCAGTGGCACCTGGGACAGGCCTGGAGGATATGGCGGCGGCGGGTCCTGCAGCTGCAGGTAGCTGTGAGGCTACAGCAGCAAGAAGGTGGCTGGGTCCTCTCCCAGGTACCAGCCAGGGCCACCTCACTTCACCCAGCCAGCCCTCCCCAAACCAGTACCAGCTCTGGTCATGGCTGGGCTGAGGGTCTTCCCTGCTTGCCACGCCCGGGGGCCCCTTCATTTGTAGGGAAGAGGGGTGGGGTTGAGTGTAGAACATACAGCCTAGAGGCTAGAGCCCGAGACTGGACTAGTGGCCACAAGCTCAGCTGTGTTGAGGTCACTCACTTGGGAACAGTGAGGCTTGGCCTGTGGCACTCTGGCCGCTCCTATCAGCCCGTTGGGTCTGGGTCTGGGGCACCCGCCTCCTCACTTGCTGCTGTCTGAGGGCTTCCAGGTCATTGTCCAGTCTATTCTGAGCCTGTGCATTTGGCCTGGGGCAGGATGGGCTGGCTGCCTGAGGCAGATGCAGGGGACATCGATGGGGACAGAAAGAGCCAGTACAGGTGTCACTCTGGCAGGCATAGCACAGGCCCCAGAGGGAGTCTGAGACAAATAGTCCTTCCTCTACTCTGATTCCAGGCCTTTGAGAAGTGGCATCAGTGCTTGGTGGCCAGACGCCAAAGGAGGGGCGCCACCAGCAGCCTGAGTCCCCTAACAGGCCAGACACCAGGGCCTTGAGAGCATGCTGGAAGCTGCCCAGTCCCTGGTATGGCGGGCTTGGACCAGAACAGGGGTCCAACCTGCTGCGAGGCATTCCCACAGAATAAAAAGCAGAGGAGAGCCCGGCCTTCCCAGGGAGGGGCAGTGCCCCCCACACCCGGAATGTCGACAGCTCAGGGAGCTCTGAAGTACAATAAAGGCCTCCGTGGTCACCGATGCTTCTCTTGCTCAGTCTTTCTAAAAGGCTGTCCCCCCTCATTCCTCTCAGCTGGGCTGAGCAGGAAGGGGAAGCCCCTCCTCTGCCCTCAGCTGCTCTGCAGACACCACCACTGGGTGCAGGGCTCCCCCTGCTAAGCCTGGAAGCCCAGGATGGGGGGGCAGCCCATCTGCGCCTGCCAGTCACTGCCCCAGGGAACGTGGCCCCAGGGCTGGCTGCTGGGCAGGAGTGCCAGAGTGGCTTCTGGGCCAGGGTGAGCAGAGGGCGGGCAGCTGGCAGGAGAAGCACTTGCCTAAAAATAAGCCAGGGAGACCGGGGCCTGCTCAGGCGTCTCATCTTTGCCTCTGACAGTGGGACAGGAGAGAAGGCAACGGGCCCAGAAAGCACAAGGGTTAGGACAGACTTGAACCCTTCAAGGGCACTGTTTCTCAAGCCCTCAGAACACAGACGAGGCTTTCAAACAGCAGGAGGTCAAGAGCAGCAGTGCCTGGTCGTCAGGGGTCCGCCAAGGCTGTCCAGGGCCTGGCGTGGCCTGCCATGTGCGAGGTCTTCCCCTATAATCACAGGTGGGGCTGCTGCCAGCATCTAGAGGTGCAAGGGTGCAGCCCCTTCACTTAGCCAAGTGTCCTCAATGCCACAGTGCCTGTCACCCGTGGTCTCTCTGCCCATCTTACACAGGCCCAAGTACAAGTTCACTGGAGTCCCAGCCGGATCCACAGGCTCCCTGGTGTGAGGGCTCAGGTGCAACCACCAGTCTCCCGCTTCCTCAGGGAGGTGGTGTGCACCACCGTGCTCCCCTGCAGGGTGGCAGTGCTCTCACCAGAGAGACTGACCCCGACCCTGGCTGGACCAGGGAGCACCAGGCTCCCCTGTGCCACTGCCTCAGGTCCAGCCAGAGCCTGGAAGCCTCACATCGGCCTAGTCGCCATCATCAGCGGGGTGAAGAGGCCCAGGCTTTGGATAAAGGAGAGCCAGGATGTGGGGGGGGGGAATGGCTGGATACCAGTGGCCAAGCCATGGCTGTCAGGACGCAAGGTCATAGACCTTCTGACTCCCTCTCGCTCTGCGCAGGCCTGTTGAGCAGCTCGAATGTGTCTTCTACCACCTGCCACAGGCAGTTGTCCAGCGGGAACTCATTGTCCACCAGGTTGACCAGGAAGTAGTTGTCGTGGATGTACTGGATGATCATGCGGGACGGGGACTCCTCGTCATATAGCTTGCCCCACCTCTCGATCCACAGGGCGAAGGCCTCATCCTACACATGCACATGTGGGTGTGTGCGCGCACACACACACGTACATGCACACACAGGCAAGGTCAACAGGACTGCCCTCGGGTCAGGGACCCCTGCGCAGCACTCCAAGGGCTTCTGCCCTTCGGAACATGTCCAGGAGCAGAACAAGGCCCCTCCCAACATCTTTCCCGCCTGGCTCAGAAGTAAACGTGTGTGAGCATGTGGCCTTGAAGGCCAAGTCTGCTGGCCCTGGGGGTGTGGCCTTCAGCCCCTCAGTTGGGATAGGGCATACCACCTGCCCAGGGTCCTCAAGGAGGGCAAGGCAGGCCCGCCCCCTCCCCTCACTCCTTTACCTTCCAGAACATGAAGCTGACAGGATCCACCACCGTAGGCTGGATGATCTCCCGCCCAGGGAAGATGCCCCATGTGACCGCGTTGGGCCGAAGTTCAGGGGCGTTGGTGACATTCTCACCCTAAAGGGGCACTGAGTCAGGGAGGCAGGTCTGGGCATCTGCAGCCCTTTACTGCCCGAGGCTTTCGAGCTCCTGGGACTGCTCTGGGCTTAGCACCCCACCGTGCCTCCACCTGCTCCTCCTGCCCGCAGCTGAGTGGCACTGCTGTCCCTGCCAACCCGAAACCCAGAGTTGTTCTGGGCAGTTTCCTCTCATCGCTGCTCCAGGCAGCCTCTGTGCCCAGCTGCCTGACCGCTCGCGCTGTCTGCCACTTCTGAATGCCACGCGGTCTGTTTCCCACCTGGGACCACCACGGAGGCCTTGGTGAGCACCCCTGGCTCTGGCCTCCTGCCCGTTAGCCACATAGCTGTCCACTGTGACCTGCCTGAAGTGGTACAGGGGGCTCAGCCAAGCCACTCCACCACTGGAGGAAGACCCCCACCTGCCTCTAGGGAACCTCAGATTCCAGGCAGGACCATCAGTACCCCTGGGATTACTTGACTCTGCTGCACCTCCTTGCCCTGTGCCCTGCATCTCCCAAGATGGTGCAGCTTGACCTCTGACATCCTCTGCACTTTCCCTGGACACTTACTCCCTGTTGGCCAAGTCCTCGCCTGGCCTCCTAGCTCTGACATCCTCCTCTGCCCTCAGCCTCCTACAGAGCTTCACTCTCTCCCTTGCACTGAGTTGTCATCACCATGTGTCCGTCTCCCTCCCAGGATGGGTGCCCTGCGCCAAGGTCTGCCCGTGTCTTGCCCTGCGCAGGGTGCCTGGCCACGCTAGTGATGCGCACTGCTCCAGGCGGGCAGGTGGGCAGGCCTACCTTCACGTCCACGATATGGTAGTGGACCCGGAGCTCGTACTTCTTCAGCACCTGCAGAAGGGCCTCCACGGTCTCGCGGGAAGTGAAGAACTCCAGGTAGGCCTGTGGGAGGTGGGCGCCCATCATGCAAACCCCCTCTCGCCAGGCACCCATGGCCAGTGCTGCTAGGCATGCTCCGTGTCTCCAGCCTGCCCTGCCCATCTGGAGAGGGGCCCCACAACATGTGCACAAGACTCTGAGGGCATCAGGGCTAGAGGTGGCCCCGTAACTGAGTGTGAAACGCGGAGCTGGTGAAGCAGGAGGTGGAGGGGACTAGCACACGAGGCTTCAGTTGGGACAGATCCAGGGTCATCTGCCACCTGTCCAGCCACTGGGGAGAAGCATATCTGGAGATGAACGGAGGTTTACCCACTACCAAGCTAAGGGGTGGCAGAGGCCTGATCCATCCCGCCCTTCCCAGTCACTGAGCTAAAATGTTCGTAACACTGTCAGGTGGGCACTTCACCCCAAGGAGCTAGTGTTGGGGAAGTTGGCTGCCTACACTGACAGCGAACAGCAGAGCTAGTGCCCAGGGCCAGGGCCAGGGATCACGGGCTGCAGCTCAGAATGCAGTTTAACTCCAGCAGCTGCCCACCTGGCCTCGGGGCAGCAGCTCCCTGTGAGTGGCCACTCCCATGTTCCTTCCAGGGGCGGAGCCTTTCCATGCTGATCGAATTCTGACCCAAAACATGAAATACATCCCATTACAGAAGACAGAAGTGAAGGCTGAGAGGCCAGGGGTCCGGCTGCCCAGGGCTGGCTGATTGGAAGGGTCAGCACCTGGCCACTCTGTCCACTGTCTTTCAAAACGAAAGGCCCAGGAGAGAAAGACCAGAGCTGTGCCCAACCTCCCGAGAACCTGGGGGTGCTGGCAGAGTGGGGCAGCCTGGGCATCTCCACCGTACCTTTTGGAAGACATAGCCCCCGCTGGGGCCCCAGCCCACGACGGGGTCAGAGGACGGCTTCCCGTTGATGTTGGGCTGGGAGTTGATGGTGAGGACGCCCCGCTGGTTCACGCGCAGCAGCTCCTCCCTCATCAGGCTGGTCTCGGCGGCCAGGGGCTCGTCGTTCCAGGGCAGGCAGGTCACCTGGCAGGGAGGGTGAGCTGGGCTGGCAGCCCCTCCCCAACTCGCCCTCCTCCCCCTGCTGAGGCTCCGCGTCCACCATGTGGACGGGCTGGCATAGGTCGGAGCTGTCCAAGTCCATGATCTGGCCTACGGCTGGGGACAGGGCCCCCCACCTCTGCTCACCTTGTGGCCATGCCGGTTTGGCTCCCCCGAGAGGTAGTGTGCGAAGACCTCGAAGACGCTCTCCTCGCTGCACAGCTCCTCCCCCCACATCTTCAGCAGCTCCTCCCGGGGGGACTTGCTTTTCAGGTAGAAGAGGTAGTAGTCCCGCAGCTCCCCGAAGGCTGGCGAGGACGAGTTGCCCCTGGCAGGGAGGTGCCCCAAGGTCAGGGCACCCCCCTGCCCCGGGCTCCTGGCAGGGAAGGTGCCACCGCGTGCCCAGGAGGACACTCCTGCGAGTCCTGCCCGGCTCCTCCCGGGCACAGGATCTCCCGCAGGAGCGTCTGCAGGGGCTCACCAGCGGCCATTGGGAAACTCATCCCAGTCCTGGGTGCGGTAGATGTAGCTCTTTGGTCTGGAAGCCCAAAAGATGGGACGCACATCTTCTTCCCGGCGCTTGGGGTGGGCGCTGATAGCCCAGGGCAGGGGACGCCTGGTGAGGACGGAGACAGACAGGACAAGGAACTGGCGTAAGGAGCAGGAGGAGGTGGCGCAGCACTGAACCTGGCTTCTCAGACCTGGCTCTGGACCTCCAGCCAGGGCAGCTCCCGGCGTCCCAGCACTCGGAGGCTGAGGCAGGAGGCTCACTTGAGCCCAGGAGTTCTGAGGCCAGTGTGGGCAACAGCAATAGTGAGTCCTGGTCTCAAATCAAAAAAACCATGTGTACCAGGCATGGAGTGTCAAATAACCCCTTTGAGGAGTGTAGTTGAATTTATGCAACCGATGTGTCAGAGTTACCAAATTGGTGTGGTGTTATCACCCTGTACTCAAAAATTCTTGAAGATCTGAAGAGCCTGTGGTTATGTGGCTCTTTTCTATCTATCCACATTTGCTGTATTAGACACTAGAAGTGAGGCCAGGCATGGTGGTACACACCTGTAATCCCAGCTACTCGGGAGGCTGACTCAGGAGGATCACAAGTTCCAGGCCAGCCTGGGCAACTTAGTGAGACCCTGTCTCAAAACAAAAATAAAAAGGGCTGGGGGTCTAACTCAGCGGTAGAGCACCCCTGGTTCAGTCCCCAGTACCACAAAAATGTAAGAAAATGAACCTTGAGCTACACGGGGTGCTCTCTGAGGAGAGTGAGAGCCAGGGCAGCCGTGGTGCAGGAAGGCTTCTGTGCCACCACGGGCCGCACTGCCCTGACACCGCTCTGACTCTCCCTGGGTCTCCCCAAGCCTCCACCCTCACCTGGGGTCCTCAGTCCACAGGCCCAGGCGCTTTAGCACCTCTGTGGTGGCCACCTCGCGGTTGAGAGTGTAGAAGTGGAGGCCAGGCACCAGGCCACTGGCCAGAAGCTCCCGGCACAGGCTCACGGCCAGCTCGATGCCATAGTTGCGGATGGCAGCATCGTTGTCTTTGATGGGCTCGATCACATCCTTGATCTCCTGCGGCACCTCCAGCTTGGACAGCTTCATGAGCTGCCGGAGGGAGGAGTAGCCCTGTCCAAGACACGGGGCTGTGGGGTCAGTTCCCAGCCCACCCCTCCGACACCCCTCTCCCCTTTCCCAGCCCCCACCAGGCCTCCCACAACTGCAGCGTCATGTTGGGGGATGGCAGGGTATGCCCGGGCCTGTCCCGCTTCCTCCACTCTCTGCAGAGTTCAGCAGCTGCCCACAGCATTCCTGCCACCAGCCTGGCCAGCCCTCGAGCCCAAGACGTGATAACACAGTGGCCATCGAACCCAGCCACTCCCAAGAAGTAAAGGGCAGATTCCCAGGCCCACACCAGGTTTGTGACATCAGAACTCCTGAGCGGGCCTAGGACCAGGCTGTGGGAAAAGCTTATCCGATGGATCTGATGTCAGCCAACTCTGGGGAACACCGACTTTAGCAAAATTTATGAGTTATAATCCCTTTTGTCAGTAGGTCACAACACAGCAGGACCCTTGACAGGCACTGTTGCAGGGGGCGTGGGGTCAGAGGCAACCAAAACCAGGCAGCCAGACACCCCTGGGCAAGACACCCAGGAGCAGCGCGGAGAAACTAGAGCATGAGCCAGCGCCCTCCCCAGAGCCCTGGCCTGTGCTGGGACGGTGGGTGCCGGGGGACAGCTCCCTGGACCCTCACCTGAATAGGGAAGATCCCGGGGAGGATGGGGCAGGTGATGCCCGTTGCAGTGCAGGCCTTGACAAAGTGGAAGAAGGTGTTGGCCTCGAAGAAGAGCTGGGTGATGATGAAGTCGGCGCCTGCCGAGACCTTCTCCTTCAAGTGCTTCAGGTCGTCCTCAAAGCTCTGTGCGTCTGGGTGGCCTTTGGGGTAACCTGCCAAAAGGGACAAGTGTAGGAAGGAACTGGCCTGTACCTGCTCAAGGTGCATGGTAGAGACACCAGAGACCCTGGGAGCAGAGTCCCTGGTTTCGTTCTGCACTGGCACCTTCCAACAGCACAGTGTGGACAGGTGACGTGGGCAGCTGGGTCACGTCTGATGTGCCCCCGACCCTGGAGATGACTTTCATGGGAGGCAGCCGGCAGTCACTGTGTCCAAGGCGTGGGGTGGATTGCTCCAGATGCCTCAACCAGCCAAGCAAATCAGCCTGCACTGTGGCCATGGGCACAGGTATCACATTCAGCACTGGCTGAGCAGCTTCTGGGGTTCTGGGCTTGACTTTTGTAAAAAACATTGTTTTTGCACGGTGGCATACGCCTAAAATCCCAGCAGCTTGGGAGGCTGAGGCAGGAGGATCGAAAGTTCAATACCAGCCTCAGCAAAAAGAGAGGTGTTAAGCAACTCCGTGAGACCCTGTCTCTAAATAATGTTCTGCCATGACCTTGAGCCAGAGCAACGTCTAAAACCATGAGCCCCAGTAAACTGTTCCTTCTCCAAACTGTTATTGTCAGGTATTTTGGTCACAGCAACGGAAACCTAACATTACATGAAGAATTTTTAAAAAGTAGAGCAGTTTCACTTTAGGAAGTGAAGAGAGAAGACAGTAGTGACTTTCACATGTCTAAAGTCCATTGTGGGGAAAAGGATTCACCTGAGTGGAGCTCTGTATCATCCTGATTGCTCCTGATGGCAGAACCAGTACCCATGTCAGCCCTGCAACTAGTTCCCAAGTCTGAACATATTGGGACAGCAGGAAGGCCACATGCTGAGTGTGCAAAAGGTGGGGTTCTGAATTGCCTGTGAGGTGGGACCAGATGCCCTCTGGGATCCCTACTAGTTCTGTGAACTGACCCCTTCCCCACATGACTGCACTGGCTAGCAGCCTACAACCAGAAGGCAGGACTCTGAGCCAAGCCGGGAGCAGATAAGAGACCTGGGCTGTTGGGAGGCCACACTGCTCTGCTGTGATAAGCAGTCCTGTTTCTGAAGCAACCCAGAGTCATCAAAAATGGACATAAAATCCGGGCACGGTGGCGCACATCTGTAATCCCAGCTACTTGGAAGGCTGAGGCAGGAGGATCACAAGTTTGAAGCCAGCCCTTACAACCTGGTAAGGCCCTGCCTCAAAATAAAAAATAGGAAGCGCTGAGGATGTGGCTCAGGGGCAGAGCATACCTGTTCAACCCTCAGGACTGAAAAACACAAAACCAAAGAAAAAAGCCAAATAAAAGTTGTTGTCTTAAGGAGTAAAGGGGCAAGGGGATACTTTCAATAGCAAAGCTACTTTTCCAGTAGGAAAAATCACATGGCTATAAAACAGTGTATCACCTACCAAACCCAGCACTTGGGGACACTGGGATTTTGCTCACTTTACCACATTCTCTCTCTACTATGAGCAGCTTGGGGCTGTTTGACCCAGTGATCTTCCTGTCACCCGCTTGATGATCACCAAAGCACAAAGCCACTCGGCGGCTGTACACTTGCAGCTTTGTGGTTCCACCGTGATCAGCCAGCACCCACGACAGAGCGACGGTGCGCAAGCGCAGGCCCAGTCACTGTCAGCATTAGAGCTGGGGAGCAGTGACACCAGGAACAGCTGGAGATGCCTCTTCTCTTCTTAACTCCTCATCAGGGCTTCCCAGTCATGCCTGCCTAGGGACCCCCTAGGGACTCATGTGGGTGACCTGATGACAGTAGGTGCTCCTGGCCAAATGCCAGGACTGTATTCTGTGACTGGACCAGGTGCAGCCAGCGATTGACAGAATTGTGCAGCAGGACAGAGGGTTATCAGCCCAAGTCACCTGCAACAAATAATTTTCTTAAAGCCAAATAGCTTATTTTTTAAAAATTCAGATTATTTGAGATGTTACTCCATAGCACAGCCATGCTTAGGTTAATATAAGTATGGTTTGATTTAGCCAGGTGTGGTGGCTCATGCCTGTAAACCTAGCAATTTGGAAGGTTGAGACAGGAAGATTAAAAGTCCGAGGCCACCCTCAGAAACTTGGGAAGATCCTGTCTCCAAAAATAAAAAGGGCTGAGGATGGAGCTCAGTGGTAGAGCACCCCTGTGTTCAATCCTTAGTACGGCCCCCACCCCCAAAAAAGCATTATTTTCCAAAAAAAATTTGAGACATCCCAAATCAATCCAGGGACCTCTTGTGTCCCTGGCCAAAATGGCCTCACCATACCTGTTCCCTGTTTGAGAAGCTGAAGGCCCAATTCCAGCAAGTAGGGGTGGAGGGGAGGCCATGGTATTTGTCCTCCTGGCCGTAGACAACGGAGCTAGTGTTGAACCAATCCCACTCCCTCTCCTGGGATTTTGGAATTGACCCTGAGACCTGTGAATCAGTCTGGGACAGTGGTTGGAAATGACACCTCATACATTCAGAATCAGGTCATATGCATAACCCCCAGATCTACGGGAGGAAGCAGAGATGGGAAACCTGCAGCTTCCCCCAGAGAGCTGGTTCCTGACCAGGTTCCAGTGCCTTGTGAATTCTGGCATCACTTCCTCAACTTGGGTTCTAGGAGTCCTTGTCCCCCTGGAATCTTCATGATAAATCTCTTTTACTGTAGAGTAGAGGGCTGGGGAGCAGGCTGGGAGCATGCAAAGTAGAGGGACAAAAGCTCAGGGGCAGTGGCAGGCCTGGGAGGGCAGCAGGTAACAGGATAAGCTAAGTACAGCATGAAATTCACCTCTGCACATCCTTCAACCAGCGCCGTCCTGAACCCGGGCTCTCTAGCCTCCCTCTCTTTCTCCACCCACCTGGATGCTCCAGCCACTCACCTGCCACACAGATGTCAAAGTAGTCCCCAAACTCACTTCGGATGTGCTTCACGAGGTCTGCAGCATAGCTGAAGCCCCCCTCCTCAGTTTCCCACTGGTCACCTATGGGGTCTGCAGGGTTGGTAGAGGTCATGGTCAGCAGCTCTTGTCTGACTTCCAAAGAGCCTTTTGCTCCCTCTAACTACCCTGATACCCGGGGCTGTGAGCTCCCAAAGGCAGAGGCTGCGCAGTGCCTAGCTCTGGGTCTCCTCTTCCTAGCCTAGCTCTGGCGCGTGGTGGAGGAAAGCAGCCAGCTATCAATGTCTGCCGACTTCCTGTGAGTTTTACATGCCGCTCTCCACTGAGCACAGAGGACAGTGGTCCCTTGCCTGGCCCCGCTGCCCAGTGTGCACAAGTATCCTCTCCTGTGCCTCCTGCTCTCTTGAAGCTTCTGTTTCCTGTCTATCTCAAGTGAGAAGTGGTCCTGTGATGAGGAGCATGAGGCCACAAGATTCCTCCCAACCATCAGGGTCCCTCCTCCTGTTCCTGGGTGACCTGATGACAGTAGGTGCTCCTGGCCAAATGCCAGGACTGTATTCTGTGACTGGACCAGGTGCAGCCAGCGATTGACAGAATTGTGCAGCAGGACAGAGGGTTATCAGGCACCAGCGGCTCTCCCGCCTGGATTCCTATAACCAGCTGGGAGATGCAAGAGGCAGCCATGTCTGTGCAGTGCCCATGTAAACTCACTGCCCACAATGCCCAGAGGCTGTGGGCAAGGAGGAGCCCTGAGATGCTCAGGATGGGCCCCAGGGAAAATAAAGGATTGCTCCAGGGACAGGTGAGGCCTTTGGGAAAGCAAGAACCCAGAGAGGAGGGGAGTGCTGGCTCCACACCTCCCCTCAGCGCCAAGATGTTCTTCAGGCCCAGCTGCTTGGCTTTGTGCAGATGGCCCGTGATCTCCTCCGGGCACTGCCGGCAGCAGGTCATGTGCAGAATGGTTTCCAGGCCACAGTAGTTCACAGCGGTACTGGCAATCATCATGGAGGAGGTCTCCTTGTCTGATCCAGGGTCCCCTGCTGGGTGCCAGGTCACATCAATGAAGAGGGGACCACCTGCTGCCATCTGGTCAAACCTGTAGGGGATTTCTTTCTAAAAAGGTGTTCCTGGGGAAGCACAGCCTTTACACCTCCCCATGGGGCCTGGGAGCTGAGGAGGCACAGCATGCAAGTTGGGAGTCAGAGCAGCCTGCATTCACCTCCCCCACAGTCACTTATAGCCATATGATCCTGGGCAAATGACATGATCTCTCTGAGCCTCAGTTTCCTCCCTTATTAGATGTTGCAGGTGACATTACCTACTCATAACAGCCCCCTGAGAAACATGGCAAACAGCTCCATAGCTCTCAGTAGGAGCCTGGAGCACACAGCAAGCCCTCAGCAAGCGCCAGTGCTGTGTGCCACGCAGCCACCCTAGCCATCTCGGGGACTCTAGGCATTTGGATGGTCACGAGTAAGGAGGCTCTCAGTGGCAGGCAGAGCCTCATTCTAGGAACAGGAAAAAGAGGGTGAGCAGGCACAAGATGCTTTTGTGCTGCCTCTCTGGCCACAGGACAGCAGCCAGCAGTCCTGGAGAGCAAGGCCGAGTGCCCAAAGCAGACTAGAAGCCTGCACAGGCACCCGTGTCACAACCTACGACAGTGTAATTAAACATCTTTGTATCTCTAAACCTCATAACCTTGGAGCGACACATGTGAAGTGCAAACAGTAAAAGCCACACATTTACAAAAAGGAACTGAATTCATAAAGTGCTAGCATAATTAATTAAGTTGGCATTGCTAGCTTGAGAAGCATAATCCCAATTTCCAATTTGCTGAAAACATTCTCTGAATTGCTGCTTTGTGACTTCCTAAAGCACTCATGATCCAGCCCCAAGATCTGCCAAAACATGTAGTCTGAGAGAATCAACTTTTTTAACTCATTGGGGAGTGTGTCTAAAATTATCTGAGGCTGGGGAGGGACATTCAGACAACTGAGAAGTCACAGATCAACAGCCTCTCTGGCCGCTGCTCTCTTCTGCCCCCTCTGGCTGCCTTTTCCTGCCGGGTTAAAGTGCAGCCCAGACAGCCCGGCTGACAGCTCCCGCTCAGCCCAGCCTCCCAGCAGCTCACCTGGCGATGAGGTTGGCAGCTCCCTCGGCTGTTCGAGGAGGGAAGAATTCCAGGGAGAACCACTTGTCACCAGATTCCATCCTCCGCCTCATCTTCTCCCGGAGTCTCTCATGCCGCTCGGGATCCAGGCTGGGGGTGGAGCACCTCGAACCATCTCTGGAGCTCTCACTGCCACTGCTGCTGCCCTCCGAGTGGGCGGTGGGGCCGCCAAGTCCTCCGGTCTCCATGGCCCGTCTCCTGCTGCACAGGGTGGGGCAGGGGGCCTCAGAAGGCGGGCAGCCAAGCACCAGGCACATCCAGGCACCTGAGTGCAGGTTCAAGCGAGGGAGGAGGGAAGGCGGGTAAGGCTGCCGCTGCCCCTGCCCCGGCTCCAGGCTCCACAGCCACTGTCTGCGCGGCCCCACTCAGAGCTCTTCCTTCTGCTGCTGCCTGGCTCCCGGCATGACAACCCCCACCCCACACTGAAACCCTTGGTGACAGCTACCTGATGGAGGGTGGCACAGACCACCTCATGCTGCCTGATGCCCACATTTCTAGCGGGCGGCAGCGGAGCTGAGCTGGGAGGACTCTGGCTTTTCAATGTTTCATTTCTGTCAGCTTAGACCCAGAGTGAGGAGGGACAGGAACAGAGGAACCTTCCCTCAGCGGGTATGCCCAACTGGGCGGAGCTGTGACAAAGGAAGAGCCCTGCGCTAAGCTGGGGCCTTCAAGGGGCGGGGTCAAGGTTTCCAGGCTCCAGGGAGAGCTGAGGCGCCAGTGAGAAGGCGGATGGAGGAGGGGGACCTTGGAAGGAGAGTGCACAGGCTGGAGAAGGCTGGGGGTGGCTGCATTGAGGCCCCAGACCTTCAGGGTCACGGGATCCCCCTCCAAAGAAGGAACGGCTTGGCTGGCTGGGCTGGCCCTGCCTGGAACATCTCCTGTTACAGTTTCAGTTTGTGGGCAAGAAGGAAGGAGCCGGGGCTGAGGCAGCTGGATTTCCCCTGAGTTCATGCTACTTCAAAACTGTGTTGTGGGTTAGAACCTGACATTGGCTTTATTCTAAAAGGAGCCTGACCCAGGTTCAATAAGGACACGAATTTATTTCCAACTCAGAACAAAGGCTGTATGCCTGCCTGCACACTACTGAAGTCCAAGCAATCTGTGACTGCAGAGCCACCACATTCAAAGCCACGGCCAGGGCGACCACAGGCAGGCCAACAGGGCACCGTGCCATATGGCAGGTGAATGGGGGAAATGAGACAAATATTTTAAAATGAAACAAAACATTACTCTTGCATAGCAAAGGATATACACCCAATGGTGACACTGGTATGTGACATGGAGCAACACGAAAGACCAGGTTTCAGGAATGCCCACCCCTAAGCCGGTGTACTCAACCATTTTGGATCTGGACTGGAGAACCTGGTGAAATCACTGCTCCTCTCCTGAGACACATGAGTATGGGACACACAGGCACACAGGTCACACTAGGGAACGTTGTCCCGTGCCCCCACCGACATGCTCATTCTGATGACATGCTCATTCTGATTCCGACCTGAATCTCCAGATTCTCAGTGGGGAGTGAGGAAGGGGGGATGGCAGAGGAGCTGGCTGGCAGTCACTTGGGAGGGCCTTATCTACTGCTGCTGGAACCCAACCTGGAGAGGAGGGAGGAAGCTGGAGTATTTGCAAATGATCTGCTCTTTACACTAACTGCATTCCTGGTACATGCCAGGCACATGCCATGGGATGCTCTCCTTCAGCCAACTCCCACTGTAGCACCTAGGCAACAGGTTTGTCTCCGTCCTTCATCCTTGTTATGCTTGGGTACTAGGTGTCCCCAGAGAGCTCATGTGTGAGACAAGCAAGTAGGCTTAGAGGCGAAACAATTGGGTCATGAGAACCTTAACCCAATTAGTGCATTAAGCCCCTGATAGGGATAACAGGGGGGTAAGGAAGGCAGGTAGGGGTGTGGCGGGAAGAGGTGGGCCACTGGGGGCCTGCATTTGTGGTATGTATTTTGTATACAGTGAGTGGAGTCTCTGCTTCCTGATCACGTCCTGGGTGGCTTTTCGTCACCACACCCTTCTGTTCTGTTCTGTTCTGTTCCACTACATTGTTCTGTCTCACCTGGAGCCCGGAGGAATGAAGCCAGCTGACTTTGGACTGAGACCTCTGAAACTGTGAGGCCAAAATTCCCCTAATTGTTCTTGTCAGGTCTTTGGGTCACAACAGTGAAAAAGCTGATTGAAGAAGCCAGAATTAGACAGGCAGTCAGTGTAGATAGGTAAATCGAGTCAGGTCAGATCTAGGAGGCCAATTTTGAGTGAGTCTGGGAAGTTGGAGACTGTCCCCTGAGGGATCTTATCAAGAACCTGCCCCATGGGGCTGAGGATGTGGCTCAAGCGGTAGTGCGCTCTCCTGGCATGCGTGCGGCCCGGGTTCGATCCTCAGCACCACATACCAACAAAAAAAATGTTGTGTCCGCCGAGAACTAAAAATAAATATTAAAAATTCTCTCTCTCTCCTCTCTCACTCTCTCTTAAAAAAAAAAAAAGAACCTGCCCCTGCTCCAACCAGTTGCCAAGTAACCTGTTCCAGGAATTTCCCCTCCCTACAGGGAGCTACAAGGCTGTTGTCAACGCCATCCTGCCCTTCCCCCTTCATCCCTCCTATTTCCCACCTTTTGGCCATCCCACCGAACAGTTCCTGGGCCTAGTCACAGTTACATAGTCAGGAAGAAGAAAGATAAGGGGGGAAAAGGCAGGAGAACAAAGGAATCCTAGGACATATAAAAAGGGCAGAACACTTCACTTCTTCGGATACCAGCTTTGGCCCCCTTCTCCCTCCGGGGAGAAGCCTATGTTACCCCTTTTTAAGTAAACCCTGCTTCTGTGCTTGCCTCGGCCTTCTTCTCTGATGTTCAAACTTCAACATGTGGGGGAGCAGGACTCGTCACCAATAACCGGCGGTATCACTGACACACTCTTAGCTCCCTGAGATCAGGACCAGGTATCTTGCCTATGGCATCCCCAGGGACTGGCGCACAGTAGTCACAAGCCACACCAACGGACCAGGTCCTCACTCCATTCTCAAAACACCCCTCTGCCACTTACTGAGCATTCAGAATGTGCCCAGCAGCAGGATACGAAATCCACTACTCCAGAGGGTGCCGGTGGACGTCCCTGCGCAGCAGGACGCAGTGGGCCCTAGACTGCGGCGCTAGTCCCTCGCTTCTGCAGGTGTTCGCAGGACTGGAAGCCGCCTAGGTGCCGAGTGGCCTGAGTGACGGGAATAGAGTCACTGGGTCACTGGCGGGGGTGCGGGGCCAGGCCGGTCCCAGGAACCTGGATCTCTCCTGGCTCCGGGTCCCTCCATCCCAGGGTCCCCCTGAAAGCAAGTCTTCGCCTCAGAGCTGGGGTCGCTGCGCTGGGAGCCACCGGGGATCCCACGAGTCCCGCGGAGAGGGCGCGCGGAAGGGTCGGGCGGCCTCCAGCGCTCCTTGCCTCCACGCAGGTCCCGGGGGTGTCTCGGGCTCCGGGGCCTCCCCTTCCGGGCGACCCCGGCCGCGCCGTCACTCACCCGCGGGTCTCTGGTGTCTTGGAACGCCGGTCCGCAGCAGCTTGGCAGCCGCGGCGCTGCTCGTGGAGGGGGCGGGGCGCGGGCGTCGGTTGCCAAGGAGGAGGGACGCGAGGGCGGAACCGCGGGCGCCGGCGACCGGAAGCCCCGCCTCCAAGATGGCCGCGCCTGGAGGTCTTGCTGGAAGCTGTCCCTCTACCGTCATGTGACGCGGGCTCTCGCCCCACCCGTCTGCAGCCACTCCCAGTCTCCGTCCCCAAGCTCGAGAAGGCCACGTGACCCTCCCGGGGCCAGTCACGTGAGGCGTGGACCCTGGGTGGGAGGGGGGTTGGCAGAGTGGTCCGGAGTGGCAGCGAAGGAGGAAGATGGCGGGGTGCAGGGGGTCCCTGTGCTGCTGCTGCAGGTGGTGCTGCTGCTGCGGAGAGCGTGAGACCCGCACTCCCGAGGAGCTGGTAAGAAGCGGGCGGGGCCGGGCTGGGGAGGGGGCGGTTGCTAAGGGATGGCGAGAGGCGTTGCCGGGGGTGGGGCTGAGCCGAAATGGGCCCGCAGGTGGCAGCGGGTGGGGCCTAGGGACCGCAGCCTGGGCTCGGGAAGCATCTGCCCTGCTTAACGTGCAGAGCTTTTCTCATAAGCCCTCTTTGGAATCTGAAGGAGAATCCAGGCCAACTCCAATTATCTCATGTGTATTTTCTTTTATTGTCATCTGAAAGTATTTTTTAATGAAACAGGCCTGTTCAGAATGAGCCCCTTCCACAGGACTTTGTGCGCATCATACAGCCGGTTTAGTTTCTCCAGCCCTTTTTTGTTCTATCTCACCCTTTCTGGGTCACTGTAGATCCAGATTCCCCCTGCAAAACAACCAGGTGAAACTTGAGTTGTTGTGTCCCCAGAGTTGACAGATTACTTCTTTAGTCTAACAGTTTCCCAATTGTAGTATCCTGGCTACTTGGAGAGGTCCTTCTGATTTCAGGTTCAGCGCATTGTCAGATGGAGCCTGAATCCTCCGCCCCCACCTCTAAACTGGCAGTGGACATCTTTGAGGTGTCCTAAAAATGCCAGTGGTTATTTGGAGAATGTATCAATAGAAATGAAGAACTCAGCTGGATGACTAGATCTCCACCCACATGACTCCTCATCCTAAAAGGTTTTTTTGAGGTCTTGTTCCACTTTAATGGTGGCTCCAGCTGATTTAGAACTAGCAACTGATCAGATTTCAGTAAATATTTCTGCCTCTTTCTTCTCCTCTCTCTCTCTCTCTCTCTCTCTCTCTCTCTCTCTCTCTCTCTCGCTCTCTTTTTTTTTTGTACCAGAGATTGAACTCAGGGGCACTCCCCCACTGAGCCACATCCCCAGCCCTTTTTTTGTATTTTATTTAGAGACAGGGTCTCGCTGAGTTGCTTAGCTCCTCGCTGTTACTGAGGCTGGTGATGAACTCCCTATCCTCCTGTCTCAGCCTCCCAAACCTCTGGGATTACAGGTGCGCCATGGTGCCCAGCTTGCTTCCTTCCACTCTTAACCACTAAAAAGGTCTCCCTAATGTGGATCTGTTTTTCTAGACCATCCTTGGAGAGACACAGGAAGAGGAGGATGAGATCCTTCCAAGGAAAGACTATGAGGTGAGATTCTTAGATTCTGTGTTGGGTACTAAAGTAGTGAGTGGGCTGCTTACTTCAGACCAAAGTGATGATTCTAACCTGAGATGCTTTTTGACCTTCTGTCTTAGGGAGTGAGTGGGTAAGAAATGATGTCCTTCTGGGAAAGGGGCTATTTAACAATGCCTTTTTTCACCTTAACCCCCAGTATCTTGTGTCTGTGCTTTTATGGACCTCTAGTACCTTTACCCAGAGTATGCATTTGCCTTTAAACTGCCTTTACAACCTACAGAGATCCATAGCCAAAGCTACTTGCAATGTACACTCATAACAGGCTTGTGTTCATACCCTGTTAAGGAATCCTTGCTTCTCTTCTGAGAGAACTTAGTTTTCAAATGATAGTTTCTTGCCCAAGCAGTTTCTCTCTGAAATGTTCTTGATTATAGTTTCCAGTTTCATGTATGGGATTCTTATGAGTATGTATTTTTTGTAAGTCATGCTGCTAGAGTGAAATTGACTTTTTATCATTTAATCAGTTCATGATGAGTTTTCATATGAATTTTGAAATGACAAAAGCAAACTATGATTGTGTAGAAAATCCTTAAACAATTTACAAAAAGAAGATAAAATCCTAATTCTAATAATATGCTATCTTAGCCTGTTCTCCCCAGCCCAACTTGATAACAGTTTTTGTACTGCTGCTTTTCTATAATATCTTTTTAAATAGGGAAACAATTTTTTATTGCCGTGATTTATTTAATCCATGGTTTTCCCACCTTCTCTGTAATGAACTGCATGGTGGGGAACCTCTGTCTTTTCTTGCCCATCCTTAGCTGCTCCCTAGGGATCACTTCTGAGAAATGGAATTAATCATGTGTGTGTTCAGCACTTTTTTAAATGTCATGTAGACTAAAGATCCCATATGTGAGGACAATAACATACTTGACTACTTTAAATACTGCACATTTGCTATAGAGTGTAAACATTAGGATTTGTAGTATGGCACAGAATTTTGTAAACATTTATTATAGAGAATTTCAAACATGCACAAAAATGGCCAGGACTGTGTATCGAAGACCCTGTCTTCGCACACAGCTTCAACAGCCATCAACTCAAGCTTAACCTTGTTTGATCTCTGTTTTCTCCACTTCTCCCTTCCCATATTATTTTGAAGGAAATTCTATCCATCATATCACATCACCTGAAAATAATTTGTGTATCTCCAGAGGATAAGGACTTTTTTAAAGAAGCATAATGCAATTATTCCATCTAAAAGATGGTATCAAATATCCAGTATATGAATTTCCCAGTTTTCATATGATAGTTATATGTATTTTTCTGTTTGAAATAGGTTCCAAATAAGGTTCTCACATTACATTTGTTTGAAATCTTTTAAATCCCTTTCTTTCTTCTTTTTTTTTTTTTCTTTTTTTGTATGAGATGCTCTTTGACCTTCTGTCCTAGGGTGTGAGTGGGTAAGAAATGATGTCCTTCTGGGAAAGGGGCACACGTGCAGGAGATCAAGGCCAGGGCCTTGTGTATCCTAGGCAAGCCCTCTACCTCTGAGCTATATCCCCAGCCCTCTTAAGTCTCTTTTCATTTATGCTTTCTTCCTTTACATTTTTCCCCCTTGTAATTTGTTTTACAATATCATTAGGACTCTGGAATTTTCTGCCCTCTAGATTTTGCCTGTTGTGCCTCCATGGTACAGTTTAATACTCAACTCTGATGGGACAATTTTTAATGAATCCAAAAGCACTGTATCCACTGGTGTATTTCCTCATACTTCTTAAGAATTTAGTTCCTTGTATGTAGTTGAGATTTTTGAGAAATCACCAGAAGGCGCTCCATGTTGTGCTGTCACCTTGCCCTCTTGCTGAGCCCCTCAAACATCGAAGACATCTTACTGCCTTCTCCCACATCTGGGAGCTGGGCCAGCCTCCTCCACCCACCCTGCCTTTTCTGAGGCTTTATCTCTCTTTCCACTAGACTGCACTTGTGTTTGTGATGTGCTTGCCCTGAGTGGAGGTGCCAGCATGCGAATGCCATGGGTAGATGTTCTTTCGTGTGGATTATTAGTGTTTCCCAGTTAGCTGTCTCTGCATATGAGCTTCCTGAGAGCATTTGCTTTGTGTAAGAGCAAATTCACTTAGACACTTAATCAGGAAAGTGCTCAGATTTTACTTCAGGGTCAACTAGAAACCTTGTGTTCAAGGTCTTTCTAGAGTGTACTCTTTTCCCTTCTGCTTTGGGGGAGCTTGTAATGTGTACTTGACTCTTTTGTTTGTAAATTGGGTGTCTTATAAGATGTTAAGAATCCCATTTTGACATCCATTCTCATGGGTGGTTTGATAATAATTTCCTGTCATGAATGGTGCTATTTTCTGTTTTCAGGCAAGTCATTGAGTCTGTCTTGCTCTTCTGAGTTAGAAAAAGGCTCTTTTCAGAGCAGGTTTGGATGTCACTGCCTCCTCCTCTCAGACATGGCCATGGCCCTAGCTCAGGCCTGCTGAAGGTGCTTTTGTGTGAGACGAAAGTAGCCCTTCCTGATTGGATTTGGGCTGCATCTCAGCCCCACTTGTTCCTGTGGTTGGGTATTGTTTTGCTCATAGCCATAAGCAGTAGCCCTACAGGACACCTACAAAAATTTTATTAATAAAAGTTGTTAGTTTCTCAAACCAATGAACAACACATATAGCAGAAATAAAAGGATGATACTTGTAGCAAAGGAGAAGGAAGATCTGGTTTTACTAGATCATATATTCCACTGATACATATTTACAGTGTCACACGCAACTAATTTATTTTATTTTATTTATTTTTTTTTAAAGAGAGAGTGAGAGAGAGAGAATTTTTAATATTTATTTTTTAGTTCTCGGCGGACACAACATCATTGTTGGTATGTGGTGCTGAGGATCGAACCCGGGATGCACGCACGGCAGGAGAGCGCGCTACTGCTTGAGCCACATCCCCAGCCCAACTAATTTATTTTTAAAAGAGAAAAGATACTGGTGTTCTGGGCTGCAGTTGCTTCTAAATGCTCTTTTTAGCATTGGGCTATAATGCACTGTGTACAATACATCCATTTAAAATGTGTAATTCAATTGGTTTTTCTCAGTATTTTCGGAGTTGGGCAGCTATCCCCACAGTCTATTTTAGAGTGTTTTCATCACTCCAGAAAGAAACCCTGTATCCATTTATTGGTTGGGGCCCATTCTCCTTGCTTCCAACTCTCCAATCACTAATCCACTTTCTGTCGTAAAAGAGTGGCCTGTTCTGGACAAAGAAAGCCCTTGTAAATGCTCATGGAGTCTTAATGTAGGAGCGGAAGACCCTGCTCTTTTCCTGCTGGAGGTTTGATATCCCGAGTCTGAGAAATATACTGATGGTAGACGATGAGTGGGAGACCAGGTGTACAGATTTATTAAGTGTCCGGGCATCGCAGGAGAGTGAGTGTCAGTTACCCTGTGAGTCCGGGAGAGGAGAGGGGGTGTAGATGTTTCAGAGAAAAAGCCAGTGGTTTTTAGGGGAGGTGTATGAGCC